CTTTATCCTCTAAATAATGATCCAACTCAGATTTCATCGTCGTATCATCAGAATCATCAATAAATGAATCATACCCACAGAGAAAAATAGAATCCATAGAATCATTCATTGTTGGACAATGAGATTAAGATGAAAAAATTCCCTTCCACAGATGAGTATTTTTGTTAGAGTTTGATCTTGATTGATACTCATTGTGTAAATCACAACAAGTTAACGAATCCTCATAATTTCATCTAAAGCAAAACTTCCATAAAATTTATGAAATAAATATTCTAATAGCTTCAACTTGAACATTGAATCCTTAACACATGTTACGGTCATTAATCCATGAATGATGCACCAATACTTATCAAATTTATCCATCATACTTGATGCCATTGTTCTAGTAATCTCATTAGAACATGAGAGCCACTTAGATAATGAAAGTCTAATATCACAAATCAATGGAAAAAACTTGTTTGCTGTTGGATATTTAGTCCCATAAAATATTTTGATTACATTATAAAATACTCGCAACCTCTCACAAATCTTTTTACCTAAATTTCAATCCTTATCAGTTGGCAAGCATTTATACAAAGGCTCTCATTTTTTCAACCGATAAAACACATTTTATAAATTAAAGCAACAATAAGCATCAAATATGTCGAGTTCCACCGGGTCTTACAATCAGGAACCACACTATTTCTAACATTTTCTATGCCTTCTCCAATGATCCCAAAACCATATTGGACAATCAAATTGATAATATGAGCACAACAATGCATGTGAAACAATTTTCCATCTAACATAAATGCACTTGCGTTAAATTTACTCAAGATAATCTCAACGGGGGAATCATTAGTGGAGCAATTATCAACTGTTATTGTCGACAACTTCCTATCAATATTATTATCCATCATGCAATCGATTAAAACATTAGAAAATGCTTCTAAAGTGTGTGGACATGGCACATAAGCAAACCTAAAAATGCAATATTAATTTACTAGTAAGAACATGTCCCAAATATTTGTTTTAAAATCAAATTACTGATAATACAAAAAGAACTTTAACAATGTACTAAGAAAATTAAATTTTAAAATAACGTGTTGAAAACTAAATACCTTATAATCCGACTTTGCATCTCACAACTATCATCAATGAAATGCGTCGTGATAGCCATAAAGCCTTTATTTTGGTTGCTATTCGTCCACATATCAGTAGTTATTGCAATCCTATTAGGATTCTTCTCCAAAAAGTGCAATATTTTTTATTTCGCATTGTCATATATCTTCAAAATGTCACTTTTGATAGTAATCCGATAATGAACTTTAAACAGAGGTTGTAGACCAGTTGTGTATTTCCTAAATCCACAATGTTCAACCATTGAAAGTGGGTATTCATGTAAAAGTATAATGAAGGCTAGGTTTTTCCTTGAAGCATCTTGATCAAGATGATAATTACTAACACAAACTTTCCCATCATCATTTATCTGTTCTTTTACTATAACATGTTGCCTTATATCTTTATAAGACCTTATTGGACAAGTCTTATAATGGTCATGCAAATGAGTTGTCCCACTTTTACTACTGCCTCAAAGCTTTTTATGACAATAATTACACTTTGCCTTATCCACCCCATTCACTTTTATCTTTTTGAAATGATTCATAACAATAGTTATTAATTTCCTTTTCACACCAACGGTAGCATTGGGGGCTTGACTAAGTGAGTCTGAATTATCAACCAAAATTTCTTTAGAATTTTGAGCGGGATATTCAACGGGTGACTCACTTGGAGAACCGATTGTAGTTGATAAAGCTGGACTTTGAGAGTGTTCCAGTTCAATCCCAATTGGAGATTGATTGCTACCAACATGTGTCATCGATTTATAACTTTTAGCTTGAGTTTCCATATTTTAAAACTAGAGAAAAAATTAAAAAGCAAAAAATCCAATCAATTATAAATCTAAAAACAACTAACACCAAACATGAATTAAATAATAAGTATATATGAATATGGTGACGTTCGATTAACGAGTATCAAATTATCAATACCAACTTATATCAAAATATCAAATGCGAAAACACAAACCCAATGTGAATTAAAAATTTCAATAAAATGATAAAACTAAAAATTATAATGACATAAACAATTAAGTAATTGTTCAAATTATAAAAATAATAAACAATAAAATTAATATTTTGATAAAATAACATATAGTAAGTTGGTAACAGCCTAATTGGGATAGGGAGATCCGAAGGGTGATTTGAGTTTGACCCATACTACATTTCAGGGTTCAGCTCATAGCCTCATACTACATTTCAGAGTTCGACTCATACTGCATTTCAGAGAGATCTGGAGATTAAGGGGTGATTATTCATTTGGGTTCGGCTCATAGCCTCATACTACTACTGCATTTCAACTAGGGTTCGACTGAAAGCCTGAAACTGCATTTGAGCATTTCATTTGGGTTCGATTCATACTTTCAGCATTTCATTTGGGTTCGGTTGAAACTGCATTTGAACTCGAACTCTGAAGTCTGAACTAAGAACTATATTAGATAATTGGGATTTATTTTCTAGAGTCTAGAATATAATGGAAATCAATAAAAATTTAGACTTGAGAAAATGACTGAGATTGAGAGTATGAATGACTGAAACTAAGAGAGAGAGAGAGAGGACCGTTGGGAGAGTTTATGTCGATGGTGACTGATGAGAAAGAGTTTGAAGGGTGACAGTGACGACGAGGACGACTACGACGACAGTTGGCGACGATGACGAAGGTCGGTGGTCGACGAAGACGAAGTATCTCTTCCTCGGTTCTCTGGCCTTTGTCAAGACTCGAGACTCGAGTATCTCTTCCTCTCCTCTATCCGACGGGCGAGTGGGCAGTGGAGACAGTCAGCGATGGCGATCGGCGATGAAGACGAAGCTAGGGTTTACTGGTTTTGTGGTTCAGTCGCCTCTCTCGTCGCTTCTCTTGACTCTATCGAAGACTGGTTTAGTCGAGGGTTTTATTGATTTCTTTGAATTATGTTTTAGTTTTTACTATTTTATGAACAAATGAATAATTATGTTTTAATTAGTTGGGAACGGGCTATGGTGGGGATTGCATTACCTGTCCCCGTCCCCATCCCCAATCGGAGATTCAGGGGTAGCCCCATCCCCGACCTCGACCCGATGGGGTCGGAGAGTAGAGGTCGAGGTGCTAAGGGAGAGGGTTGCCTCTGGAAATGCCGAGGCCGAGGACTAGTGGTGTCCAAGGGGTGTCGAGGCCAAGGACCAATGGGGTTCGAGGGGTGCCAAGGTCGAGGACCAGTGGGCTTCGAGGGGTGTTGAGGCCAAGGACCAATGGAGTTTGAGGTGTGCCGAGGCCGAGGTCCAATTGAATCCAAGGGCTGCTACGATTGAGGACCTGTGGAGTCTGTCTGACATCAACCGAGGCCGAGGACCTGTGTGTGTCCAAGATTGGCTAAGGCTAAGCACCTATGGAGAAGGGAACGTTAGAGGCCCCAGGCGCTAGCCTGAGGCGGGGACTTCGATGGTTAAGTTAGTGAGGGCGTAGCAAAGAGAGCAGACGAGGCCTGAGTAAAGTAGCTCAAATGAGGTCGCTAGGAGCTAGAGAGCTTGGAGTAGTGGGTTTCTAGCCCAGATTTCAGATGATTACCTTGAGGGGGGTAGCCCCTATTTATACTTGAGACTGCCTTGGAGCACAACCATCCGAGGTCGCCGCATGTGGCCACGCCATTGATCCCACACACCGCCCTTCGTCGCATGTCGGCGTACTACTGGCTTGCCTAAAGTGCCTACATCATTTGCCCCCCTCTCTCAGGGTCTTGGTTGAGGACCTCGGTTTCAGCCAAAGAAAGTGTGTTATCCTTGCTGCGAGTGGTCTTCTATGGTGAGGGCCTCGGATACAACTAAGTTGGTGAGAGCAGTCTTCTGGTGTGGATGTGATGGCCTCGATTTTAGAGGGTTGTTGAGGTCGAGGACTTGTGAAGTCTTTCCAAGGTCGGCTAGGGCCGAGAACCTACGCGTATCTGAGGACTGCTAAGGCTGAGGATCTATGGAGTCCAAGGACTACTGAGATCGAGGACCTGTAGAGCCCAACAGCTACCGAGGTCGATGGCCTAGGACCTCAATGAGCTTTGGGCGAAGCTAACGGGCGATGGGGTTCGGAAAGAGCTTGCCTCCGAGGGCTCTACGAATTCATAGCATTCTAGGCCGGAGTCAGAGTACGACATGGCAAGGTGTTTACCTAAGGCAAGGATAAAGGCAAAGGAACTCTAAGAATCACAAGCAAGCTGAGGGATCTAGAAGGCAAGGAACCTGAGAACAAGAACACTCGAAGTCAAATGATGGAGGGATGCACGACTAAGGCCCTTATTTAAAAATCGCCCCCGATCCAACAGCTGTGCGACGATCGCCTCTGCAACCTCATCCGTTTACCAACATGCATCACTCGCCTCGGGAAGATGAAGCAACCGGGTACCTGCCGGGGATGGGGAAAATTGCCACCTCTATTGCAGGTATCGTAGATTTTTTCCTTTTTTTGGTAAAAAGGCATCATACAAATTGAGTCCGAATCACCCGCTAGCAAAACACGTTCCAATCCTCTACCAACGTAATCTTGCACAGCACATCTCATATACATGACGCGTCTCACTTTTATGGTGGATCGAACCTGATGGCGAGGTCGTGCGGTGTTAGATGAAGTTGGTAGAGGGTTCGAACGTATTTTGTTGGCAGAAAATCTCAACTTAGAGAAATTGGCTCGGCTTCGGCACGGTAGTTATCCACTTATCCTCTGTTTGGAGTGCAAATACGTGGCCATACTAAGGGCGTTATAGTAACTTCAGGTTAGTATTTTCAACCTCGAGTTCCGAAAACACCTCTACCTGGCACTTGTTTGCACCGGAGGGCGAGTGACGTCAAAGAGGGATTAGCATTTACCGAAAGCAGAAGAGTCATCAACGCCTGACCATAGATGGTGATGGTCTCTCTCATTCGCCTGTTGCTGTTGGTTCAATTAATCTTTCTCTCTCTCTCTCTCTCTCTCGTTTGCCGGGTGTTATTTCTAGTTTCCACTAAAAAAATTCTTACTGTTTTTTCCCGCTTTTGATTAATGTTTCTCTCTTTCCTTTGGCTTGCATTTCTCTCCCAGGTAAGCTCTAGATCGGCTTTGAATTCGGGATGGGTTTTATTCTGATACGACAGCTCAAATAACTGCAATTCTAATCGGATCGGGAACTTATATCTGCATTCGCGGTAGGGTTTCGGATATTGTTGCATTCCGATGAAACCCTAATTCACATCGCTTAAGTGTGGAAGTTGGTTGAATACTTGAAATTCATGGATTTGGATAGTTGATTAATTGATAGATGAAATCTGAATATATATTTCTAGTAGTGGATTTCGGGTTTGTGGTTTTGTATAATTGCTCTTTGGGGGTTGACGGAGTAATTCACGCTGAAACCCCTACTTAAATATTTTCGAGCTTTGTGGCTCTGTGTCTTGGTTTTGATATTGACTATTGTCGGGTTTCAGATTGCTTGGAGGAGGAGAGAGATTTGAAGGATTTGTCTCATAGGCTTATCTCAATTGTTCAGATCAAATTTGTTTTTCTTGCCTTCAATTAGGTTGGTTATTATAGCTTTGCACGAAACACTAGTTACTTAGAATTTGCATTTTGGAATTCTGGAATTTATAAGAGCGATATCCATCATGGATAGCAACAAAGATGAAGCTTCGAGGTGCATTAGGATTGCTGAAGCAGCTATTGCATCTGGCGACAAGCAGCGTGCACTGAAATTCATTAAAATTGCACAACGCCTTAACCATAATCTGTCTGTTGATGATTTATTGGCTGCATGCCAGAAGCTAGAGTCTACGGCTTCCACTTCTTCTACTGAGGAAAAACCTAGAGATCAAAACCAAAAGGAGCCTAACCCCTCTAACCATGCTGAGTTTTCAAATGGCGAAAGGAATTATACTGAAGAGCATGTTAGGCTGATTCGTGAAGTGAAAAAGAACAAAGACTACTATGCAATACTCGGAGTGGAAAAGAACTGTTCGGTTGAGGAGATTAGGAAGGCTTACAGGAAGTTATCTCTCAAGGTCCATCCCGACAAGAATAAGGCACCCGGTTCGGAGGAGGCATTCAAGAAAGTATGCAAGGCTTTCAAGTGCTTGAGTGATGAAGATTCAAGAAGGCAATATGATCGGACGGGCCTGGTTGAAGAATTTGAGTACAATCAGCAGCACAACGTTAGGAGGAGGAGAAGAAGAACCGGTCATGACTACTTTGATGATGATTTCGACCCTGATGAGATATTCAGATCATTCTTTGGTCAGCAAGATATGTTTCGGACTGCTCATGCGTACAGGACTAGAGGAATGGCGAGTCATCAAAGGGAAACTACTCATAGAGAAGGCTCTAATCTTGTCGTTCTTCTTCAAGTTTTACCGTTCTTGTTTATCCTCTTGCTAGCATATTTTCCTTTCTCAGAGCCTGATTATTCTCTTCAGAAGAACTATTCCTACCAGTTTCCCAAGATTACCGAGAAACATGGAATAGAATTTTATGTTAAATCATCTGATTTTGACCAGCAATTTCCTCCTGGAAGTCCTTCCAGAGCTAACATTGAGGATCATGTGGTGAGAGATTACAAACATCTCCTTGGCCGCTACTGTCATATTGAGCTACAAAGGCGTCAGTGGAATAGAAATTATCCAATGCCTAACTGCGATAAGCTGAAAAATCTTGGAGTATTCTGAAGGTCAGATTCAATACTCTTTGGTTATTTGATTTGATCTTATTCTGTCAATGCTTTACTTTAAGTGTAAAGATATGGAGTTTTATTGGAGAAAATTAGCTGTTTAAATCCTTTTGCTTTCTTTGTTGATTGACACTTCTTTTTCCCGTTCATCTTCTACCAAGCATGCTTTGTCAATGAGTGGTTATTTTTTTATTAATTCCTTTGGAAGTTATGAACTTTAAATTAACAATTTATCATATCATTCCATTTCAAACATGCTAAATTGTGCTTTATTAACTTGATCAAGTATTGGATGGTTTCTGCCCTAGAATAGAAAGTTATTATTATTTCTTTTAATTAAACATTTTAAAACTCCTATGGATTGGTCAGTGCGTAGCGCTGCTTCAATGCATTTGATTGCCTGGGTGACATGGTCATAGCTGGTTATTCTCATAACCTTGAAACAAGCTACAAGATATTCAAATGACAATTCCTAGTTCCTTTGATGAATTAAGTGGCAGGGCTGGCCTGATGCACTTGAACAAGACTGAAGACTCCTTGACAGTTCGATCTGAATTTTCCTCGTATCCTAGCCTGCAACAAACTGAATGGTTTAGGGCACATACATTCTAGTCTAACTGGATAGTTTGTTATGCTGGTGAACTGGCACTTAACCTCTTAGCTTTGCGAACCAGGTTTACAAATAGTTTTGATGTAATACTGTATTATATGCCACATGAGGGGCTTTTTTGTCTTTTCCTCTTCTTTTATTTATGTATGGTCGCCCTAGTATTTAATCTAAAGCTGGTGTTTCCAGCAAGAACTTTTGGCTCATTCTTTTTCTCCTCTTCTCCTCCTCCTCATCTTCTTCTCCTTTGCTGAAAACATGGTATCAGAGCAGGTCAATGCTCTGTAAATTTCTTCTCTGCATTGGTCGAAGGATTCCTCTGTATTTTATGGACTGAGAATGAAGGAAGCAAACTTGTCCTGGACCTGAGAACCGTTCGGCTGCATCTCTTTCATCTGTTCTGGGCTGAAAGCCTGAAACTGAGCAGAAGTGATTCCAGAAGTTGTTGATGATTGGTTGAATCTTCCTAAGAGGTCGGCTGTTCTTTTCCTCTGTTCTTTCTTACTTTGTCTTGGACTAGAAAACCCAGAATTCTCTCGGACTGAACAGGGACACTTATTTAAACCCTTTTTTTTGGTTCTTGGTGCTGATACCAAGAACAGGTTAAGGTTTGCCTCTATCGAATGATATAAGGTGGGTTTTATCCCTTCTTTGTGGGTCAGGTGATCCAGAAACCAATTTTCATGTGAAGTAATTTGTAGGTCATGAGTGACCTGGTCTGGCTGACTGGTACAACAGTTATTTACTGATGCGTGTGGCTAATATTAGCCTTGGGGAGATCTGTTACACCTGTTAGTGTTCAGGTGGCTAGTACAGCAACAGAATACTGATGTTTGTGGCTTATATTAGCCTTGGAGGCCAATTTGACCCATTAAAGTGTGTTACTACAAGAACTGAAATTGTGTCCCGACTGTCAGAACACTTAGAGTGAGGGCTGTGTAGTTTTTTGTGGGTGTGTGGAATGAAATCATGAATATTGAAGATTCTGCAACCTCAGGAACCACCATGAATCAGGGTGGAATTAGTAGTGGTCATGACTCCATGAATTTCTCAATGACTATTACCCCTTTGGATGGTAGGAATTACTTGACATGGTCTAAGGAGATGCGGCTGTATTAAGGCAGGATATGTTAATGGGGAAAATAAAGGAACTTAGGGCTGGTACTGTTGAATACGTTAAGTGGGACCAAGAGAATTGCATGATTATGTCATGGCTTTTAACATCCATGTTACCATCCGTCAAACAGAATTTTATGTGGGCCGAGACAGCAAAAGAAATATGAGACGAAGCGAAGGCAACTTACTAAGAGCCTCACTATGCTAGAATTTATTAACTACAATCAATATCTTCGACATGTAAGCAAGGAGAAAGGAGTTTATCGACCTATTATTCTGCCTTCACTTCAATTGGGAAAGAATTAGACTTTTATCAGAGCATTGATTGGGAAAGTGAAAAAGATGCGAAGGCCTATAAACAACTAATCTCACAACAAAGGGTGCTTGCTTTCTTTTGGGTTGGAATCCCATGTACGAACCTATTCGTGTTCAGATTTTGGGCAGCAAGGATCTTCTGTCTGTCCAAGAGGTATATGCACTTATTCAGTCTGAAGAGAGTAGGAAGTATGCTCTTCTGAGTCAAATTTTGGGTATAATTGGGGTTTGGCTCTTAGAAGAGGCCTTAGGGAATCAGAATTGGTGCTTGTCCCCAAACTGGTGCACCCTTTGCAAGGCTAATGGTGAAAGCTCTTATCACTTACTAGTTTCTTGTCCCTTTGTTTCTGATATATTGGAAGAAGGGAACTTTAGGACTTTTTCTAACAAGGAAAGGAACAAAGAAGGTATCATTGAGGTAATAATGGTTAGGGTGGTGCATTGGTTGAAGTCTTTGGATATGTTTGCTGATGTCTCTACAGATATGCTGCTGGCTGGAAGTGGCAAATTCTGCTTCGTTTTCATCAGTTGCCTCTCCTTTGTGGTCCTCACCAGGCCTAGGGTGCGTAAAACTGAATTTTGATGGCAGCAGTGAAGGTAATCCTGGGTAATCCTGGGCCCTTGGGTGTTGGTGGGGTGTTCGGAGATGAGAATGGAAAGGTGATTGCATTGTTTTCAGGCCTCATTGGCAATGGTGACTCTCTCAGAGCTGAGATATGTGCCTTAATGGAAGGTTTAAGAAAGATAAAGGAGCTGAATATTCATAGACTAATCGTTGAAGGAGACTCAAAGTTGGTTACAGAAGGATAATGGACTGTGGAAATATGCAAATGAGAGAAGGGAGGCTAAATGGCTAACTAGGGGATTGGAGGTTCAGATTCAATGGGTGAAGAGGACTGCAAATGCTTTTGCAGGTACATTGGCGAAACAAGGGGTGGGAAGGGAATAGATGTTTTGGGCTATATTGTAATCATATTTTCTTTTTTCTTTCTCAGGGGAGTTAAGCCTCTTTACCTCTTCTCAGAATGTTGTAATATTATTGCCCTTTAATAAAATGAATTTTATTATTGATAACAAAAAAGAGTAGGAAGTTTGCTATGAATCCTCTTAAGGGGGAGATCATTGCTGTAGCTATAAGGGGTAACACTAGGGCACCAAAGTATTGATCTTCTGATCAAAGAGTTTGGACTCCTCTTCCAAAAGGTACCTTTACTTGTTCTTTTTTTCTAAAATCCCTCAATTCCAACCCCAAGTCCCAAGGGTTCCCCTTCAAAGAAGTTTGGGCGCGACCTATTCCTCCAAAAATTGTTGGATTCTGTTGGGAAGTCTACTATGGGAAAATCAATACTTTGGAAAACTTACAGAAAAGGAGACCCTTTCTTTGTCTCTCCCCGAATTGGTGTTCCTTGTGTAAGGCCCAAAATGAGTCTGTTTCCATTTGCTGATCTGTTCCTTTGTTACAGCCTTATGGAGTTGGAGTCTTAGTTTATTTGGAGGTAGGTGGTCTCTGCCATCTGATTATAGTTTGTTATTTAACCCATCTTTTTTTGTATGACACACTAGAAGAGGCATGTTCATGTGGAAATGTGTCAGTGCAGCCACCTTATGGACTCTTTGAGAGGAAAGGAATGCGAGAGTCTTCTTAGAGAAGGAAAGAAGCTTAGATGAAGTGAAGGACTGTATCCTAACAAGAGCAATACATTGGCTGAAAACCTTGGATATATTTGCTGATTTCTCTTTTGATGACTTGTGGAAGAATTGGCTAGTAATAACTAATACTTCTACAAAGAAGAATAGAAGCTTGTTAGAATGGAATCCGCTTCTAGAAGGTGTCATCAAATTAAATTTTGATGGAAGCAGCCAAGGTAACCCTGGGCCTTCAGGTATAGGGGTGTCTTGAGGAATAAGGACAACAACATCATCTCCTTATTCTCAGGACCGGTGGGAGTGGGGGACTCTACAAGGGCAAAAATACTAGTTGAAGGGGATTCTCAGGTGGTAACAAGGTGGCTTCTAATGTTCTACATGTTCCAAAGTTACCCATTAACTTGTTGTCCATTAGTAGTATTGCTCATGCCTTGAATTGCTCAATAACCTTTCTTCCACATTCTTGTGTTTTTCAGGATTTGGCCTCTAGGAGGACGATTGGTAGAGGGAACATGGTGAATGGTCTCTATGTACTAGAGAACAAAGTTGGTTTTACAGTTTCAAAGTCTTTGAGTCTGTGGAGTAAAGTCAGGTTACTTTGTGGCACCACCGTTTGGGCCAAAATGTACTTTGAGTCTTTGAAGTATTTCTTTAAGTCTTTGTCTATCAGTGACTTTCAGTGTCAAGTGTGTTAATTGAGTAAACATTGTAGAACCTCATTTCCTTTACGTAATAAAATATCAGAGTTTCGTCCTTTTTATATTGTGTATTTAGATGTTTGGGGTCCTGTTAATATTCCAACTAAGAATGGTTATATTTTATCTCCTTTATTGGTGACTTCCCCCGCCACACTTAGGCTTATCCTATGCATTCACAGGAGGAAGTTCCTAAAATTGTAAAAGATTTTCAGCATATGGTTTACACCCAATTTCAACCAGAGATCGAATATTTCAATTAGATAATGCCAAGGAGTACTTTCATGGGCACCTCACAAATTTCTTTGCATCTTGTGGCTCTCATCATAGGAGTTCATATGCTAGAACCCCTCAACAAAATGGGGTTGCAGAGAGAAAAATTGACATCTCCTTGAAGTTGCTCGGGGATTGATGCTATAGATGAATGTCCAAAAAAGATTTTGGGTGGGTGCTATCCTGACTGCTACCTATGTCATTAATAGGACACCATCTCGAGTATTGGAATATAGGTCCCCTCACCAACTCCTCTTCCCTAAGCACCAATGTTTTCTATACCTATGCGTGTCTTTGGATGTAAGCATTTTGTTCATGATTTCTCTCCTACTCGTGGTAAACTTGAT